TTTTTGGCCTTTGGAATTAGATTAATTAAACCTTGTGTTAAAGTAGGTGGGAGAGCACTTCGCAAAAAACTCTCTGCATAAACTTCAACCAGGAAAGGAGCTAAAGAAATAGAGAAAGTCTTGTAAAACTCATTAGTAATACCGTCATTTCCTGGTGATTTATTAACTTTTAAAAGGTTTATGGAATCAATTACTTCTTTTATAGAAATAGGTTCATCACAGCAAATTTTATCACTTTCCTCTATAATTTTCAGGTCAGTTATCGAATCTAAAAAAGAGGATGTATAAGTATCATCTGATTGAGAGGTATATAACAATTTATAAAAATTATGACAATAAGAAGATATAGCCTTAGGGTCATCCACAATGTTACCATCAATCATAAGTTTAGTCATGCTATTATAAATGGCATTCGATTTCTCTAACCTAAAGAAGTATGCAGAGTTTTGTTCGCCCTGCTCCATCCACCTCCTTCTAGATCGCACAAAAGCACCTTCAGCTTTATTTTTGTAAATGTCGTCAAGCTGATTTTGTAATTGATTAAGTAAAGCAGCTTCCTCAACTGAAATATTTTCAGGGGAACGCTGAGTGAGCAAAGTAATCTGACTAACTACTGCTTCTTCCTCAGCTTTCTTATATTTGGTTAGCATACTTCCATAGCGTCTCATAAACTTTCCAATATCAAATTTAAGTAGTTCCCAATTGTTAATAAAAGAGTGTTCACTTAATGCTTTTTTCCAATAATATCTAATTAAAAAATTAATTTTTAACCTAACTGTATTATGACATAAATGAGAGCTATTTAATTTCCAATATGAAATTCTGGTGGTATTTAAGGGATTTATTGAAATTATTATTTTTATATAGATAGCTTTATGATCTGTTAGGGGTGTGGGAAGAATATCAACTGTAGTATTTTGAGAATTTATAGAATTAGAAATCAGCCAAAAGTCTAAGCGAGAAAATTGAGAAGCAGCTTTATTACTCCAGGTAAACGCTTTTGTATTAGGGAATTTGGATCTCCAGACATCAAATAGATCCAATCTCTCCATGAATTGTTTAATTTTAGAGTTGAGTAAAGAGGGGCGACCTGGAGGCCATTTATCAAGAGCACTATCGATTGAAATATTAAAATCCCCACCTATAACGATTATAGAACTTGGAAATTTTTTAAGCCAATATTGTATTCTGCTTATTATATAATCAAGAAAACTTATATTTTCAGTCTTAACATTAAACCCATATATATTGGCAATGATAACAATCCTTGAGTCAATATCAATGATGT